GGGAGGGGTAAACCCCTCCCCGAAGGGGAAGAGGGAGGGGTGGAAGAGGAAACGCTCTAAACCACCGACGCCCAGAGGGCTGGTGGGATTTAGAGGACCGTCTTCCTTTTCCTCCTCCTTCTCCTTCTCTTCTCCGCCTCCTCCGCCTTCCTCTTCCGTCCGTTGCCATTTTGGCTCAAGGTATTGGAGGGGGCAGCTCCCTCGCGTTTCTTGAGCGGGCAGCCTACTTCAGTCGGCTTTCCTTTGTGTCGTGCACAGGCGGACACCTCCCTCCCTGCGGCCATGGGCGACGCGGCGCCGCAATGGATGATCCAGCTCCTCTCCCAGCAGAAGGATGAACTACTCAAGGCCGTGAAGCCCGAGGCCCAGATCATCGAAGCAGTCTTCGAGAACAGGATGTCCGAGCAGGACAAGAATATCAAGGAGTTGGCGGACAAGATCAAGGAGCAGGGCCAGAAGATCACCATCCTCGAGCAGCGCCGGCCGATGGCTTCATCCCAGGCTTCTACTTTCGCAGCCCCATCGCGTATCAGCAACGACGACGGCACCAAGAGCCGCCGCACTGATGTTGCGACCAACCCGTGCGTCAAGTTCGTTGGCACTTTCCCTCGACCTCTCCTGCAGCGTACTCGGCAAGAACACTTCGAGACCCTCAAGGCCCAGTTCGACGAGCTCACGGACGATGTCGAGGTCACCTACGACACCGTGAACCAGAACTACCGTATCACTTTCAAGAGCCCGCTGGTTGCGAACAAGTCCCAGCAGCTTGCCAACCAGGCAGGCATCTTCTGGAGCGGCCCTCGTGATCAGAAGCAGTACCCTCGACGAGTACGCGGCGACATGCCGCTAGAAGTTCGTCGGGAAAAAAGTGCTGTTGCTGCTCTCTGGCCGCTCATCTACGGGAAGATTTCCATTCAGCCCAGCTGGTCATCCGCCCACAGGCTCGGCGTGAACGGCCACAAGGGAGTCCTGCAGGTCACGGCCGATGACGTATGGGAGCTTGTCAAAGCAGTTCCGATGGGCACTGACACCTTCCACTTTCAGGCCGAGCAGGCGAACCTAACCCGCCGGGGCATCAGCTCGTCGGAGACCACGAACATATTCAAGCTCGCGCAGGCCACGGTGCCCGAGGAATCCAACTTCAGTTGGCAAGCTCTCCAGCGGACCGGCGGTCAAGACCCCCACCCAGAAGATGGCAATGATGATGGGCTCCCCGCTTCTTCGGAGGAGCTGGGTGCGCTGCTGGAGGGCCAGCAACGCGACATCTGAGTTCATTGCCTGCGCCCGCTAGCTTTGCGACTTATCCCTCTCTGGCCTCTTCCTCTCCCGCTCTCTCCCAATTTTGTGGTAGTCCGAGCCAGGGTGGCAGTGTTTCCTCCTCCTCTTCCTCCTGTTCGTCTGGGTCCTCTCAGGCCTTCCCTGGAGCTTCTGATCAATGGCTCCCCCGAGGTCCTCTACGCGTGGCTACTTGGAACTCGGGGGCTCTATTGGTTTCGACTGCTGGTAATCAAAAACGCATTCAAGCCGCGCATGCCCGTTTCCAGCACTTGCGCACGCATCATGACATTGTCTGCATTCAACAAAGTCATGGCTCCATTGGGGGCGCCCCTGCCCTGGCCCGCGAGGTTAAACAACATTTCATTCGAGAACAAGATGTCCGAGCAGGACAAGAATATCAAGGAATTGGCGGACAAGGTCAAGGAGCAGGGCCAGAAGATCACCATCCTCGAGCAGCGCCGGCCGATGGCTTCATCCCAGGCTTCTACTTTCTCAGTCCCATCGCGTATCAGCAACGACGACGGCGCCAAGCGCCGCCGCACTGATGTCGCGACCAACCCGTGCGTCAAGTTCGTTGGCACTTTCCCTCGACCTCTCCTGCAGCGTACTCGGCAAGAACACTTCGAGTCCCTCAAGGCCCAGTTCGACGAGCTCACGGACGACGTCGAGGTCACCTACGACACCGTGAACCAGAACTACAATATCACTTTCAAGAGCCCGCTGGTTGCGAACAAGTTCCAGCAGCTTGCCAACCAGGCAGGCATCTTCTGGGGTGACCCTCGTGATCAGAAGCAGTACCCTCTACGAGTGCGCGGCGACATGCCGCTAGAAGTTCGTCGGGAAAAAAGTGCTGTTGCTGCTCTCTGGCAGCTCATGCACGAGAAGATTTCCATTCAGCCCAGCTGGTCATCCGCCCGCAGGCTCGGCGTGAACGGCCACGAGGGAGTCCTGCAGGTCACGGCCGACGACGCATGGGAGAGCGTCAAAGCAGTTCCGATGGGCATTGACGCTTTCCACTTTCAGGCCGAGCAGGCGAACCTAACCCGCCGGGGCATCAGCTCGTCGGATGCCACGAACATATCCAAGCTCGCGCAGGTCACGGCGCCCGAGGAATCCAACTTCAGTTGGCAAGCTCTCCAGCGGACCGACGGTCAAGGCCCCCACCCAGACGATGGCGATGATGATGTGCTCCTCGCTTCTGCGGAGGAGCTGGGCGCGCTGCTGGAGGGGCCAGCAACGCGACATATGAGTTCATTGCCTGTGCCCGCTAGCTGTGCGACTTGTCCCTCTCTGTCCTCTTCCTCTTCCGCTCTCTCCCGATTTTGTAGTAGTTCGAGCCAGCGTGGCAGTTTTTCCTCCTCCTCTTCCTCCTGTTCGTCTGGGTCTTCTCAGGCCTTCCCTGGAGCTTCTGATCAATGGCTCCCTCGAGGTCCTCTACGCGTGGCTACTTGGAACTCGGGGGCTCTATTGGCTTCGACTTCTGGTAATCAGAAACGCATTCAAGCCGCGCGTGCCCGTTTCCAGCAGTTGCTCGCGCAGCACGACATTGTCTGCATTCAACAAAGTCATGGCTCCGTTGGGGGCGCCCCCGCCCAGGCCCGCGACGCGAGGTTAAACGACATTTCAGTCGAGGCTCGTCAGTAAGATGCTCGCCGGGTCTTTCCTCCATGTCCGCTTCCGCGAAGTGGTGCCGGGCCGCATCCACCCCCCTCTGCCCCTTCTTCTCCCCGCGCGGCTACCTCCAGATTGCGAGTATCCACGTCGACCCCTCTCTCCCAGAGTCCACGATCAGGGGCCACTTCGCAACTCTGAAGAGAGCGCTGGGGAGGTGCAGGAACACATCTATCTTTTTGCTCGGCGACATCAATTTTCTGGAGGCCGGGGGCGCTCGTTGCGCTGTCAGCGAGGGGGTTGGGGGAGTGCAAGCTCAGCGTCTAGCACGCACATTCGCGCGCACCTTCAGTGATTTCGCCGAGATCGCCCAACCGCATTTCACACACCGCACTACGGCAACTGTTAATTATGATGATGACGATGATGAGTCTCGCCTTCCTCGAGTTCGGCACACATCGCAAGCGCGCTTGGATCGTATCTATTCCAATCTCCCCGCGGCTGACCTCCTTGATTTCTGTCCAGTCAGCGGCGCTGTATGGGACATAGCTGATCGGTGGCTCCCGAGCGACCACACGGCTGTCTTTGTTGCGCTCAAGCCCTGGCAGAAGCAGTCGGGGACCCCGCGGGCGCCGAGCTGGCGTGGTGCCAGAATCTTCAATATAAGCTTTTCGCTGTGCCAGAATCTTCAAGTTCTTCGAGCAATCCAAGTCAGTCGGTCCTGATCAGCTCAGGCCACCGCCTAAGCAGAAGAAGAGGAACAAACCGGATGACCCCAATCCTGGTGATCGCAAGCAACAGCGACCTGCGGGGCAACCTGCTGATCGACGTCGATCCAGAGGACCAGCTGTGGCCGCCGCAGCAGCTCCATTTCAGGGCGCCAGTGCTCCTACCCCAAAGGACACTGTACCACGTCGCGGCCCCGCACCTGGCCGGACACGCAGAGATGGCTGGAGACCGACGCTGGAGGGATCATCGAGGGATGCTTCTTCATCGAGGCGCGGTGCCGCAAAGAGATCGCTGGACACTACATCCGAGGCATCAGGGGCAGCTCCCAAAGACAAAAAGTGGGAGTACTACAACATCAGCGAAAGGAAACGTTAGGATTTCGACATCAGTACCACTCGGAGCACCCCTCGGACTCCAAGAGGATCCGCAGGCGCCGCCCCATCATCGGCAGGTGCCCGCGCGCTTGAAGCATCGGCAGCAGCCGAATCTGCAGGACGGACTGATGAGCCAGATCAGAGTTCCGCGGGGCAACCTGCTCTTACTCTCGAAATGCCGGTTGAGTGCAGACAGTATTGGGAATGTCTACGCAGCGCCAGGCGCATGATGACCAACCCAGCATATCGCCCCCATATCGATGACGGATCTGATCGATACATCGTGGCGAAGTGGATCTGTGAGGGTGACGCTGGATTTCAGAAATGCGGCAAATGCATTGTGTTTTTGTTGACCCTGACCCTACGGATCTGCGTGAGGGGTGCAGCCAGATTTCAAAAATCTGGCAGGTCCCGTGTGTTTTTGGACCCTGACCCTGCCGATCTGCGCGAGAGGTGCCGCCGGATTTCAGAAGCGTGGCAAATCCCTTGTGTTTTTTGACCCAAATATCTTGGGATCATGATCGGCCTTGAAGGGCCGTTGGTCTCCTGGCAAGCTGTGACCGCCAAAATGTTCCTGTGGGCCTCCCGCATCAATGACTCGGGATGGTACAGAGTATTGTTGCACGCGACCGGTACGCGCTCCCAGTTGCAGGGCATGTCGCTCAGTGTCACGTTCCCTCCGCTGATGCACTTCGCCTAGAACAAGAATGTCACCAGCTCTACTCCCAGGCGCCACGTCGCTCAATCCCACCTCGTCTGTTCTTCGAGCTCAAGAATGTCGGCCTCCCCATCGATGCCAGAGATTCGGCGATTTGCAGTCGAGCGGCATTGTTAAGAGTTGCAGTCGCCTCCTCTGTCTTCCAGGAAATGCGACAATGGTTTCAAGCTGCTCGTGATACTGACGATCACTTCATCCTTCATAGGCAGCAGAGCTTCTACCAGCAGTCGATTTTCGTGCAGATGCTGAATGCTGTTGGGTCCCACTCCTTTCTTACTCAGATCCCTGGGGACCTCGCCATAAAGACGCCCGCTCCTGGATGTAGAAACAGCTCTTCCTACGACGCATGTATCCCTCTGCTGCCTCGCTTTTGCTGCCCAGAATGAGGAAGTTTCAGCCGCCCGTCACGCGCGCCCAGGCCGACAGGGCGGTTCTCACTCTGTATTGCGCCCCCGAGCTGCACGTGCCAGCCTTCATGGTTACCGCCGTCATCAAAACGATATGCAACTCGTGGAACACAATGAGACGGCACCATCAGGGGGCCCGTGGATGCTGTTTCGGTTGTTCGGCATTTGGCGGCGGTTGTATCCTTCACTACCACTCCTGCCCCATCGTTCTTCGTCGACTCGTTCAACGCCTCCCTCTTCTTCCTGATGGCTTCGGTTCTGATCCACTCGTGAGCCTAGCCCCCCACTCTTTTTTCGACGCTCACCCTGGCTCGTTTGTTTCTTTCTTCATTGTCATCGATGCCATGCACTCGACTTATCAGCGCGGACGCTGTCCTCACCGCGAAACTGGTCGACGGTCGAATTCGTTTCGTGTGCAGGCGCGGCCCGCGCCTCGCCGCCTTTGCTGCTGCTGCTCCCAGTCAGACGGGGACTTCCTGACGCGGTGGGGCTCCTCCTCCTCTTCCGCGTCTTCCTCTTCCTCCTCCTCCGCCTCCTCCGCCTCCTTCTCCTCCTCCTCCTCCTCCTCCTCCTCGTCCTCCTCCTCTTCCCTCGTCGTCGCCAGCCTCCTCCTGCT